TGCTTTCCTTGGACGTGTTTGTGCTGGTGCCCCATTGGTCTATTTTACTCTACCGCACTTGAACCCTTTGTATGTACGTGGTGATGAATTTATTTATAAAGCGGGGTGAAAGCATATTTCGAAGAAGAAGTTATTTCCCCAAACTTTACTCTGCATGTGTTGTTGATGATGCTTTATGTACCGGACTTTCTTCCTCGTCACAACCCATGCATTATGGTATGACTTTGTCTTCAATTTTATTTGTAAGGATTTGTTTTTCAATTTTAGTATGGTCAATTGACCAATTGTTATATGTTGGTGTTTAACAATAACAAAAATTGGGCCTGATAATACAAATGGTTATATGTATATGTATTAGTTTGTCTTATGAATGTTCCTTGTTCTTAAGTTCCAACGAAATTGTTGTTGGCCCCCAAGCGCAAGGGTTTGTAGCAAGAAGCAACTTTTCTCATTTGAGAACCAAGGTATCAAGATGCAGAGTTCTCCTACAAGCCAGTGATCAGCATTGTATTCAATTAAGGAACTTGTACTTGGTCCTCATCACTTCTAGTGAGATTGTGAATCCAAGTAAACCTATAGCTAAGGCTTCACTTCAAGAATGAAAATCCATCATGTATCTCAAAGTATTAAGTAAAAATACAGCATTTTGTTAAAGCAAGGTGTCATAACATTGATAGTATATTCTCTTTACATCCAGCAACATCACCAGGACAACTAGGAAACTATCTTTTTTTTTAACCTCGGGCAAAACACACTACAAGCCTTTTTATCTTATTGTCACCAAGATAGATTACTTTCAAGGTTAAACCCAACTAACATACACCACTCCTAGGAGACCGTTCATCTAAACATGGTCAGTGCCAGACTAGTAGATCGAAGAGCATGTACATCTATAAATCATGTAGCAAAGAACCAAAACAAACCAAATAGAAATCCATATATAATTTGATTATTAAGTGACAATTAATCGCACTCAACAAACACATCGAGAAATACATCAGATTGATCACAATCATGTTAGGGTGGCTCGTGTGGTCTTTCTACTGAAGAAACAAGGGGTGGAAGATGCCACATAGCTACTCCTATGGACCCACAGTCCGAGGACGACTACTCATAGATGGTCATCAGAGCTCGAGAGTTGATGAAGATGGCTCTAGCAGCAATTCCCTCCTCTAGTAGAGTGACGTAAAAGTTCCTCTATTAGGGTTAGCATCAGGGGTTATTATAGGTCACGGGAATTGAGAGGCGATAGGGGAAACCTCCGCGAGCCCCACGCGGCCAAGAACTGGGTTGTGTGGTCCCATTACATGGAGGCCACGGGCTTCCCTCTGATACTTCTTTGGTCCACTGATATCTCTTGGTGATCCCTTTTAGTGACATGGTTTTCCTTTATATTTTTTTGCTCTGGAAAATAATTATTTAGTTGCATCAAGAACAACAATTGGCACTTGACATTGCATCGATAGGTTAGTACAATGAAAATCATAAAAAAATAGTGTGCCAAAACTATGTATAAATGACATAAATATAACATGAACATCACAAAAATTATAGATACGTTTGAGATGTATCAGGATCCCCAAGCTTAATCTCAGCTCGCCGTCGAGCACCTAGATGAGAAAAGATTATTTTCTTGTGAATGATACCTTAACATGAACATGATTATTTCGTGTATTCTCATTGAAGTTTAACAAAAGGGATGTGATGGAACGCAACTTTGACACCTCTATCTGACCATGCAAAGCAAAATGAAAGTGTAGGGTCACATCTCTAGTCACATGAAGTAATGTAAATGATAATGGAAGTTTCATGACAATATAACTCAAAATGACTATGCAAATGCCTTGATAGGTAGATATGATGGCTATTTAGCTACTAAAACTCTAAGCTCCCTTATAATCCTCTCTTCTGGTGCATTGGGGCTGTGAGGTTCGATGGGGTCCCACCAGGGAGCGTTGTGCAGACCTCTTGGGCCCACTTCGCTGATGTGTCGTTTATGGTTCAAAGAAAACTTATCAGTTGCTCACACCTCACATGGTAATCCAATACAATAAGCTACGCAGAATGGGTGATTGCTGGGGTGATCCACTTGGTGTTTTACTGTGCCAATTGAAAATCACTTTTTATGGCCGAGGCGATGGAAAGAAAACGTGTAGGCGTAGCGAGCCTCGCTGCCCCTCACAAACTACCCCCGCTTATCCTCTCATACATGCAGCCTCCTCATCTCCCTCCTTTCGTCGCGGCCAATGACCGCACCACCGGAGGCCGCGACCACTCAGAAAACGGCGGCGATGAGGAGGCTCGGCCCTTGGTGCAGACCTGCACCGGAGCGGTGGCAGCGTCGGATCTCCGACCAGCATGGAGACCCGGGCTCGGGCAGCTGCCGCGGTGTCGGGTGCGACAGCAAGCTCTTTGGGGACCGCGCGGCGAGGGAATGGCGCAGCTTCTGGTTGTGGGCTCCGGCGACGGCAAGACGTAGATCTGAGCTGGGTGCTCGAGCTCCGGGGCTGCAACCACTCCATCTCCGCTGCCAGGGGGCTGCTCGACCTCCGCCACACCCACACATATTCCCTTGATTCCACATTTTCTTCTCAACCTCTAGGCCTTTGGGAGTTCGCTAGCAGTCCTCGTCGGATCTGGACTAGGGACTGGGTGCCCGGGCAAGTCTGGGAGGAGCGAAAAAATCTTATACATTTTGGCATCACGGGAACGACGGATGTCTCAGCACGCTCCACTCCACCGAAGCTTCAAGCCCCAGATGAATACATCCCCTTCTGATTTCATCATTTTTTTGGATAGCTTAGGACGTTGTTGTTGTTCTACGGCAAGGTTAACTTAACAAAATGATATTGTTGAAACATCAAGGTACTTGCCTATAAAAATTAGTTTCACAAACACCTTCCTCGGATTATTCATTCGTAGAGAGATTGGGCAAGCCGTACTTGTCATGTGGCTGCTAGATAGTACACAAGAAGTATTTCATCACTATCTACTGACCAATTAATTTTGTTGTTTTCCAAGAGATGTATCAGTTGCCTGAGTTGTTCTCCAGAAGTATTTCATCATGGTCTACTGATGCTTAATTACTTTCTCTAGATCATCTGTGAAAGTAGCATCGAGGAACTACCAAATAATAATGTTGTGTGTAATGTGTTTAGAATGTCTTTGTTGCAGGTTCAGAGGTCCATGGATTTAGGGCAGAGGTGGTGACCATCCTAGAGCAGAGCCAGTCCAGGTCGTTGCGGAGAGACTGGGGTTCAGATGGCCTAGTGTCGTAGCATCTGCGTCAGCAGCAAGGCAAGATATGTTAACATGTTATGCATCAGGATTCAGTTCATGTGTTATTTATGGCAGTTAGGTAAAGTTTTTCCTTTTTTGAGAAATCAAGACTTGCAGTGGTAGTAGGGTACCAAACATTTGTGCAGTGCAGAGCAAACCAAATTGTCTGGAGAGGCACACGACTTAGAATCCACCTTAAAACAATCAAATCTTTAGAATGTCAATCATCCAAACTAAGAATAACCATATTGCTTGTGTCATGGAAAAAAATTTGGATAATGATTCCATGACGGACAACGGTGGAACCATAATTTGGCATGGTAGGGTTGTGCGAGATGCAGAAACGTCTTAGCCTCGGTGCGAGGGGACGTGTTGCATGTTATAGGCATGGGCGCAATCTCCCTAAAGCGCATACAACAATGGTTGAGATATTACAGGAGACTTGGAGGAGAAGAGATAAGAAGATATAGTAGGTTACAAGAGAGAATATTTGAACTACCTATCTAGTCTATCTCTATCTCTAGGTGCGGCTGGTGCGGCACAAGACTCCTCCTTCGGTGCAACAATGTAACGTGACATAATGTGTTTAACACCCTCCCTTAATCACAACTTCATCAAGTTGAGATTATGTTTAAAATCTTCAAAGCTTCTTGTAGGTAATGGTTTTGTGAATTTGTCTGCAATTTGATCTCTAGAATGCACAAACCGAATCTCAAGTTGCTTCTTGGCAACCCTTTCTCTCACAAAGTGGAAGTCTATCTCACTATGCTTTGTCCTAGCATGAAAAACTGGATTAGCAGATAAATGGCAGATTTTGTTGACAGCAAATGAGATATCGGGTCTAGTAAGGGTAAGATATTGGAGTGCACCTACTAGACTTCTATATTTTGTACTATCATCTTGATTTAAAAGCTGTCCTTCTGTGAGAGACAATTTTTCTGAACTTGACATAGGAGTGGGTGAGGGCTTACAACCTTGTAGACCTGCCTTTTTACTAACATCTGCTGCATACTTTTCCTGAGAGAGATGAAGTTCATCCTCATGCTTCTTCACCTCAATCCCTAGGAAATAATGGAAGTCTCCAAGATCCTTGAGAGCAAACTCTGTACTGAGATCTTTCAAAAGCCCTATGACAGCCTCATCTGATGAGCTTGTAACAATGATATCATCAACATATATGAGTACAAATATGTATGTGTTATACTTGTTGTAAATGAATAGTGAGGTGTCAGACTTAGAAGGAACAAAACCAAGTGTTTGCAT